CTATCTCACTGAGCTACCTCCTGCCCAGAACTACTGACCCCCCCACCAACTACCCCCCAAAGCTACCTTCCCCCCTCGAACTACCTACCTCACCGAGCTACCTTCCGCCCAGAGCTACCTCCCCCCCAGAACTACCTACCCCAGACCTACTACCCCCCAGAACTATCTCCCCCTGGCAAACTACCCCCCAGAGCTACCTCCCACCCAGAGCTACTTCCCCACCCAGAGCTACCTCTCCCCCAGGACCAACTATCCCACCGAGCTACCTTCCCCCCAAAGCTACCTCCCCCCCCCGAACTATCTACCTCACCGAGCTACCTTCCACCCAGAGCTACCTTCCCCCCTCCCAGAACTACCTACCCCCGACCTACTACCCCCCAGAGCTACCCCTCCCCCAGAACTACCTACCTCCCAGAGCTACCTCTCCTCCAGGACCAACTATCCCACTGAGCTACCTTCCCCCCGAACTACCTACCTCACCGAGCTACCTCCTGCCCAGAGCCACTGACCGCCCCAACCAACTACCCCCCAGAGCTACCTCCCCCCTGAACTACCTACCTCACAGAGCTACTTACCACCCTAGGAACAACTATCTTTCAGAGATTCGCCCCCCCTCTCTCCCACAGAACTACTTACTTCCCCAGAGCTATCTTCCCCTCCCAGAACTACCCCCCAAGAACTACCTCCCCCCCACAAACTTCCTATCTCCCAAAGCTACCTAGCCCCTTAGGACCAACTACCCCCCAGAGCTCCCTGCTCTCTCTGATCTCTGCTCTCTCCCCAGGGGGTGCTGTGCTGCGGCTGGTGGGTGGCGCTGGTTCCTGCTCCGGGCGGCTGGAGGTTTTCCACCAGGGCCGCTGGGGCACAGTGTGCGATGACATGTGGGCGCTGCCTGGCGCGGCTGTGGTGTGCCGGGAGCTCGGCTGCGGGGACCCACTCTCTGCTCCCAGGGGGGCCTTTTTTGGTGAGGGCAGCGGTCCCATCTGGCTGGACAACGTGCGGTGCCAGGGCAATGAGTCAGCGCTGAGCCTGTGTCTGGCTGCACCATGGGGCGTGCATGACTGCCAGCACGCGGAGGACGCTGGTGTGGTGTGTACAGGTAACCTGTGTGTGGGGGGGCGGGGGGGGGGGGAGAATCTCTCTTCTCTTGTACTGGGCTCTCACCAGCCGGAACCCAGATTTTAGCTCTCTCAGGTTCTCTGCTGCTTCCATCAGTAGATGGCACTGGTGTGTGGCATGTTTCCTCCATGCTGCGCTGAGCCGGAGGGTTTGGTTCATTCCATGTAAATCAGAATTAGCCTGACGGTTCATTGGGATCCATCTGTTAAGCAGTTTCTTTTAATATTCCAAATAGGGTGACCAGACAGCAAATGAGAAAAATCGGGACAGGGGTTGGGGGGTAATAGGAGCCTATATAAGAAAAAGACCCAAAAATCAGGACACCTGGTCACCCTAACTCCAAAGTAGATCTGGCATTATTCCCTTCCCCTCCCTGGACTGGACCCCTCATCACACTTCTAGAGCAGGACGCCCAGCTAGAAACAAAACCCTGGATCGGGCCTCTGAATGCAGGGCCCAGCCTGGACTGAATGGAGAGCAAGAGGCACTTTACTGCAGTACAAACAGGAATCGGTTCTCTGGCCTGCGAATGTGTGAAGGAACATGACCAAGGGTTTGCCCGAGGAGAGCCGTCGATGGGGTTCGTAAGGCACACAAAGGAACAGTGGCTAGTTGGGCGTGAGATATGTGTCTGTATGCTGGAGTTCAGCTAGTTTGCTCGTGGGGCCGTTCAGCTGTCTGGGCGCACAGTGAGCTCTTCCTAGAGGGTTTTTTTACACTCCTCTCTAACGCTTGACTTACCCCTGACAGCCGGGATTCCCCCTGTGTGTTGAGCCTTCGAGGGTCTCTCTAGTTGGACAGAGGGAGACAAGCTCTGCCCCTAGGTGGCTGTCAGCCTTGCTTGGTCACTGAGCAGGATGTAGATTTGGTTTAACCATCACATCTCCTAGTCCTGGGCTCATGGAAATTCCTTAGCCAACATGTCTAAAAAGCGTGTAACCCTGCTGCCAGCTAGTGGTGGCAGCGACAAGGGCCGGGTTCAGTATCCAGGGGTTCCTCTTAACACCACAAAACAGAAGTGGCTCAAGCCCCCACCCAGAAATCTGGGAAAAGTTACCACCTCCCCGGGTGCCTCCAAGAGGCAATGCTTCCCCTTTACCAGCTGAGTCTGCGTACTGTATAGCAGAGAAAACTTCTAAGAAAAGGCAAAAGGAACCCAGCATTAATTTGAGAAGATACCACAACAGTGACTCCCAAGTAAGCAATCAGTAAGTAAAACACCCGCCCGGCAGTGTCCTTTGCCTCGGTTTCCCACCTTGCAGTGTGAAAGTCCGATGGACAAGTGTCCCTTTAATACGCCCTTCCCCTCCCCCTGTGCTGCACCCCACTTGCGGTTGGTTGTCTGAGGTGGGCCAACTCCCAGAATTTGGGGGGCATTCACGGGGTTCAGCTCCTGCTCCTGGAGGGGGGTTGGGCAATACCTCTGTTACCAGGGCCAGCTCCAGGCACCAGCTAAGGAAGCAGGTGCTTGGGGTGGCCAATACAAAGGGGCGGCACTCCGTCCGCTATTGGGGCAGCACGGCCGGGTCTTCGGCGGCGGGTCCCTCAGTCCCTCTCTTCCTCTTTGAGCCGCCGCCGAAGAAGTGAGGGCGTGAAGGACCCGCCGCCGAACTGCCGCCGAAGAATGGAGCGGCACGATTGAGCTGCCGCCGAAGTGCCGCCAATCGGCTTTTTTTCCCCCCCGCCCCCCTGCTGCTTGGGGCGGCAGAAAACCTGGAGCTGGCCCTGTCTGTTACCACGCCTCTATGACTGCCGCTAGCTGCAATGCTGTGGTCTGGTGCCCTGTCCGTAGGGATTTCACTGGACAGCGAGGAACCTCGCTGCTGCAGCCTCTGCCTTGCTTTCACCACGCCACTGTCCCGACACCCGCTCCAAGGCTCAGAGACCTGCTCATCCCCAGGTCCCGCTGTAGTGAGTGCTGAAGCCAGGCCTCTCCACGGAGCCCGATCAGTGCTCTCTTTACACCCTGGAGAAGGATCAGTCAGTAGCTAAAACACTTTAACCCCCAGCTAGAAACCCCTATTCCAGCCCCTGTTGCTTTTCCCTGGGGTTTGGCATCACTGTGCCTGCTTAGTGAGATTAGGGAGACCCTCTCAGTCAGGGCAGGCTAAGTACAGGCCCGCTGCCCTTTACTCCTGCAAGAAGGATAACAGCAGGTTGGTGCCCCGTGTCCAAGACTTTTTAACCCTTAACCGCCCAAATGCATCACTTTGGGCAAGCAGCTGTCTGCTGAGCGCCTAGGCAGAGGAGGCGTGTCTATGCAAATACAGCCTGTTCCTCGGCTCTTTTAGTTCATCACTAGAGGATAGGGCAGAGCTCATTCAGATCCTGCTTGCCCACGGATTGTGGGCAAGAGATGGGATGAGCCAGGGCCATCTCGCAACCTTCTTCAGTACGCTCGCTGGGGGAACAGAGGGAGAGCACCTGAGCAAAGGGGCAGGGGAGTGTATAGCTATTCTACCAAGCTATTCTAGGCATATTTGACCTCTGTACATTTTACCGTGTGCGCTGTGCGTGCATGTGCATAATGTGTGCACATGTGTATGTGCATGCAGCATGTGTGTGCAGTGTGCATTTTTGTGCAGTGTGTGTGCATTGTGTGTGCATACAGTGCATGTGTGCAGTGGTGAGTGTGTGTGTATGTTGTGTGTGCATACAGTGTGTGTGTGTGCAATGTGCGTGTGTGCAGCAGTGTGTGTGTGTGCAGTGTATGCATGTGCGTGCAGTGTACAATCAGTGTATGTGCAGCAATGTGGGTGCATGTGTGCAATGCACATTTGCACAGTGGTGTTTGTATGCAGGGTATGCATGTGGGTGCAGTGTGAATTGTGCATGTGCAGTGGTGTTTTTGCACAGTGCTGTGTGTATGTGCATGCAGTGTGTTTGTGTATAGCGTGCACAGTGTGTGTATATCTCTGGGAGTGTGTTTGTGCCAACCCCCTCAGGTTGCTAGGATCTCTCCCATCTCCTTCACAGACGAGTTGGCCCATGTGAGGCAGCGCTTTGCCAAGCCCATGGCCCCACAGCCACGGACGCAGAAGCCACGGACGCAGAAGCCACGGATGCAGAAACCACGGACGCAGAAGCCCCGACCCCGGCTCCCTTCAGCGGCACGGGAGGAGACACAGGCACCAGCCCAGGTATCCCCACAGGCAGTGCTACCAGGTGAGTGAGCGGTGGGGACTACCCTCCCCAGCCAGCCCCCCCGTTCCTGGCCACCCAGTTCCCAACCCACTCCCTAGTCCAGCCTCCAACCTGCCCCATCCCCTGCCAAAGCCATCCCCCTGCTAGCTCCCAACCCATCTGTCCCTGATCCTCAGGATCCTGCATTAGACAGTCCCTTGAAGGAACCCGTCAGTGTGCCAGTCCCCCCAGGGGTCCCATTCTTCCTCCAGGGTCAGCCACACTGGCCTCACCGCCTCCGAGACTGAACCTCTGGGCTCCAGCGAGCGAGCTCTGCCCAGCGAGTCTGGCTGAGAGACTCCTGGGAGAGCCTGGGCCACCCTGCAGGGTTTCCTGCACCTCAGCCGGGATTGACAGTGACACCTGGCGTGGGGCAGGCCTTAGGGTAGCAGGACGTCATCCAGAGTGGCCAAGCCAGGGCTCCCTTGAAGGAACCGTCCGGCCCCCACCCGCCCCCACCCACCCAACCAGCCCTCAGCCCCCCATCTGACCCCGACCCCACCCCCACCCACCCAGCCAACCCTCAGCCCCCCATCTGCTCCTCCAGTCCACCCCTCCAGTCCAGCCAACCCACAGCTCCCCATCCTGCCCCACCCACCCAGCCAGCCCTCAGCCCCTCCATCTGTCCCCCCATCCCACCCCACCCACCTAGCCAGCCCTCAGTCCCCCATCTGCCCCCCATCCTACCCTCTCCCACCCAGCCAGCCCTCAGCCCCCCATCTGCCCCTCATTCCACCCCTGAAGTCCAGCCAACCCACAGCTCCCTATCCCGCCCCACCCGCCCAGCCCTCAGCCCCCCATCTGCCCCCCATCCCACCCTCACCTGCCCAACCAGCCCTCAGCCCCCCATCTGCCCCCTCATTCCACCCCTCTATTCCAGGGAGCCCACAGCTCCCCATCTGCCCCCCATCCTGCCTCACCCACCCAGCCAGCCCTCAGCCCCCCCATCTGCCCCTCATTCCATCCCTGCAGTCCAGCCACCCCAGCCAGCCCTGCAATCCCTGCCGCCAGGCTGTCCCTCTGCTGATGGTTGGGCTCCTGTTCCCCGTTTGCTTGGGGCAGGTCCGGCTGGCGGGGGGTGAGGGTGTCCAGCTGGTGGGGGTTGGGGGTGTCTGGCTGGCGGGGGGCGAGGGGGTCCAGCTGGCGGGGGTTGGGGGTGTCTGGCTGGTGGGGGACGAGGGTGTCTGGCTGGTGGGGGGTGCTACCTGCTGAACCGGATGCTCTGTATTCCAGGGAAGTGGAAGCCGTTGTCGTTGCTGGAGGGCACCAGCCCCCGGGAGGCCGCCCAGCCAGAGGGGACCACGCGGAGCCCCCCATCCTCAGGAGAGCCAGAGCTGCCCACTGCTGGACCCGTAGGTCAGTCTGGGAACCTGCAGCTCGAGCTGCCCAGCCACCCTTGCTGTCCCCGTCCTGCCCCGCTCAGCCCCGGCCCAGCCCTGGCCCGGGCTCTGATCGCTCTGCCCAGCAGCACGAACACCTGTTTTTTCCACTGCTGTCTGTCCAGATCTCCCCAGCACATCTCCCCGGGAGACTCTCCCTGTCTCCACTCTCCCCGGAGGGGACCCCTGCAGCTCGAACAGCGCTGGCCTCATTGCCAAAGCGACCTGCCAGGGGCCAGCTAGTGGACGACGCCCCCTTGGGCTGGGCCTGAGCCCCCGGGGGGCCACCAACCAGTCCCAGGGCAATGAACCAGGGCTGGGTTATGCCCTCATCCTCGCCCTGCCCCTCTGCCCAACCCAGTCCCCTGCCTGACTTATCTCCCAGCCCCCTTCCCCATGGGCTGGGGCTAGGCAGTGGCTACCCACCTCCCTTGTAAAGTGCTGTGAGCTCTAGGGATGGAGAGGGCAGAGTGGGGGAGCAGTGTTGTTATTGGGGTGTGCACGTGGGGACGGATGGCTGGACAGATGAGGTGTATGGGGACGGAGGGTTAGTGTGTCAGGGGCAACCTTTTGTAACCTTTACGTTGAAATGTTCCCAGTTGTTAGGGATAAAGGTGCAATAAAACCCAGCTTAGTTTTCAGGGTCGAGCCTCTGGAGCGCTGACAAGCCGTGGGCAGTAGAAGGCCACAAGGCAGCACTTGGAGGGATAAAACCAGACTTCATTTAACTAATCATTTCCCTTTTCAGTAAGGCGGCATGTGATTGCCACGTACGCAGCACAGCAGTTATACTCTTACGCAAAGATGGATGGGTGCACCACTGACAACAGAGTGAAGTACAGCCGTGTAACCCTGGGACCTAGTGGTGCCCTTTGGATGTTAACTGCTATTCAGCAAAACCGTTTCTTTCATAGGCGCCAACTCCATGGGTGCTCCAAGGCTGGAGAACCCATGAAAAAAAGTTAGTGGGTGCTTAGCACCCACCACAGCCAGCGCCCGCCCTTCCCCCCAGTGCCTCCCATCTGCTGGTGACCCCACTGATCAACTCCTCCCCATCTCTCCCAGTGCCTCCCGCACGCCACGATCAGCTGTTCCACGGTGTGCAGGAGGCACAGGGAGGGAGGGGGAAGAGCGGGGACGGGGCACGCTCAGGGGAGGGGGTGGAACTGGGCAGGAAGAGGCGGGGCAGGGGTGGAGTGGGGGCGGGAAGAGGCAGAGCAGGAGTAGAAGCTTGGGGAAAGGGTTAGGCCAAGCCCTAATTTCTAATTAACATAGGCTACAAAGGGGATAGATAGATAGATGGAGTGCATGATAGGGATAGATAGATAGAGGGGTGTATGAGGATAGACAGATAGTGTTAGTGCTGCGCTGGGTGGTGTGGGGCAGTGTGTTGTGCAATGGGTGTGTTAGATGGACCATTGAGCTGACCCAGTATGGCTGTTCTTATGTTCTTGTTAACAGGGGATTTACAAGTGACTTTAAGTTTCTATATTTCAGTTTACTTCAGCCTTTCAAATACAGGGCCATGGATCTTAGCGCTGCTCTGGGCAGTGCGGGTCGGGCTGGGCAGACTGAGCAGGGGCAGTGCCGGGGTGGGCTGAGCGGTGTGGGGTAGGGCTGGACAGACTGAGCTGGGGCAGTGCCGGGGTGGGCTGGGTGGTGTGGGGTAGGGCTGGACAGACTGAGCAGGGGCAGTGCCGGGGTGGGCTGGGTGGTGTGGGGTAGGACTGGGCAGACTGAGCAGGGGCAGTGCCGGGGTGGGCTGAGCAGTGTGGGGTAGGGCTGGGCAGACTGAGCTGGGGCAGGGCTGGGTTTGGGTGGGGGGTGTGGGGTAGGGCTGGGCAGACTGAGCTGGGGCTGGGCTGTACGGTGTGGGGAGCAGGAGGGAATTGGCACCACAGCTCTGTGTCAGAGGTTCTGCACTGGAGGCAGAGGAGGGGACTCTCCATTGGCTGGTTCTCTGTCCCCCACCCTGTGGAGCTGGCAGGGCCTAAAGAGCGGCTCGCTATGCCGGTGCCGGCCTGGTGTCTATGCACGTCCCTGGGGGAACCCACCATCCGGACGCAGCCCCTGGGGCTACAGGTGGCAGGGGGATCAGGGTGGGGGGTTCTGCATGGGGAGCATTACCCACCTTCCAGCTCTGCGGCTTTGTCCCCACAGCCCAGGCTGTGACAGATGCTGCCATGCGGGTGAGCAGCCCCAGGGATGGGCTCCGTCCTGAACGGCACGGAGCCCCGGGGACGCAGCGCCCCGTCCCGAAGAACCGGCGGCCCCGCCCCAAACCATTGGAGACACGCACAGGTACCAGTGTCACTGCGCGGCGTGCTGTGGCCAGGGCCTGCCCTCGGGGTCTATGGGAGAGGGTGTGTGTGCTGGCCCCAATGCCCAGGGCAGTGCTAGGGGTTCTGTGCTGCTGGGAATGGGGGGCTCTGTATGGGGTGCTCTCCGTGCTGGCCCCAATGCCCAGGGTGGCGCCAGTTGGGCTGTGGTGCAGGACAGTGGTCATCAGGGGAGGTGTTGAAGGGGGTCTGTTGGTTGTTACAGTCAGTGGGGCAGGGTATGAACCCTGGCGTCCTGGCATAATGCCGGGGAGGGTCAGTGCATTCTGCCCCTGCCGGGCAGTGTGGGACACAGTGGGCCGGGCTGGGAGGTGTCGTGGGGCAGAGCCCATTGGGCACTGGGGCGGGGCAGGGCTGGAAAGACCCAGCTGTCCCCAGAGCGCTCTGGAAACCTGCGTCCATGTGTCTGTCCCCTTCCTTACATAGACGCCGTCCGGCACCGAGCTCCTGCTGCCACCCCCACCCTCAGGGCCCACGCTGGGGCCCGGACAGACCCCCACGTGCCTCGTCCCCCACGTCGGCCTGGGGACAGCACCCTGACGACTGTGGCCTCTGCAACCCACCCTCCCAGCCAGCCCCACAGCGCCTGGACCAGCCCAGCCACCCCTAC